TATATTTATATATTAAATATTATATAACATATCAATAATACATTAATATTAATTAAATGATTAACCAAAAATAATTTCGACTAAGTATTTAAATTTTTTCTTTTTTTTTCTTTTTAAATATATATTATATATAATATTAAAAATATGTAAATATGATACAAATGATATTACTATGATTCTTCCTTAACTGAGAATAAGAATAAGAAAATACCAACTTAGCATCTTCAATAGTTCCAGAAAAATATCAACCGTTTTAATGTTAATAAGCAATATTGTAAAATTTCAGTGAATTTTATTTAATATACCTTCTATTAGCCTCTCACGGTCCCAGGCAGTCATAGTGTCGACGATAATCAGTTTGGGCCCTATTATTAGAGTGCAAGTGCAATTTGCATCCATTTTTCCATCACCCAAATTTTTGGAATAACCATTAAACAAAACAATAACTTCACACATTTTGGTAGGTAATTGCTTATTCTTAAGGAAAAACTGAAAACGGAAATTGCGATACTGTTCCTGTTCTAATATCCCATCCAGGGTTGGGCACGTATTATACACGAGGTTTCTTACATAGTATTATACATGGTATTATACAAGTATAATACATCATTTAGTTTTATACGTATTATACTTCATGTGGCGCCATCTCTACATTATATGCGTAATTTAATACTTTCTATCAATTTCTACATTATCCACGCTAAAAATCGATCGAAAATTCGCTAACAAACAAAGAACCAAGAGCTGAGCGTTGTAAGTGTCTTGAGAGGTCGCTCGTGCGATTCGAACATGTTCTATCTCGAGCGTTACATCCTCGATTTATATTTTTGAATTACGTTATTATTAGCTAAGCGTCCAGTGTTTGGGGGGTCTGCATCATTTTCGCTTTTGTTGCATCCTTTTTATACCTGCCCGATTTCTAGGTGGTCGGTGCCTTGCATATTTCGATTTTATTCATAATACCACAGACCTCGGTAGTCTAGTCTCAACCTAAACCTAAGGGTTGCTTGGCTAATACATAGAAAAAGAAGAAAAAGAAAAACGTTTTGTACTCTAAGGGCCTAGCCACAATAGAAGGAATAAGGAATTAGGAATAAGGAAGAAGGATTCCAACCTATCAGAAACCGTGTATTCGATATCTGATAGGTTGAAATCTTTATTCCTTATTCCTAATTCTTTATTTCTTCTATTGTGGTCAGGCCCTAATTCTAATCCAACTCTAACTTCTTGGTGGAAAAGTCTATAATTCTATAGTAAAAAAATGTGCGTGCACGGCGCAGCAACAACAAAAATCGATATTTCAAAAAAATCGATAACATGGAGTCGTTCTGGAATTCTGGACACTCGTACAGTTTCGTAGACCATAAATTAGAGTTTTATACGTTTTATACAGTTTTTTTACGTAACAGTTTTTTACGTATAATATCGTATAATACAGTATAATACAGTATAATGTAAAAAACCCTAGAAAATCCTTCGAAAACCCAACCCTGATCCCATCCTTCACACCTATAGATATTCTTTATATTAGACAAGAATCCTAATGGAAATTTTTCTCAGAATTTTATATAAATTTTAAAATTTTTGAAAAATTTTCTAGTTTTTTTTTAAAAATTTCTCAGATTTTTAAATACAAATTAAAACAATTTTTTAAATTGCCAAAAACATCTTTTCTATAATTCTAATATAAATATATTCTAATAGCGTTTTCGGGCCGACCGGGTTTGCACCAATCTGGGTTGGATTAATGACGTTTTGCGCTCTCCTATTGGTAGAGCGTGTGACATCAACCAATAGAAAAGATTAATCCAACCCAGGTTGGTGCAAACCCGATCGGGCCGAAAACGCTATAAGAGATTTCTGATGAAATCTTATAAAATCTAAAAAAAGTTTAAGATACTTTTTTCAGAAAGTACAGAATAAGAAATCTTAAAAATTTCTGAATTGACATAAATAAAAAATTCTAAGATACAGACTTTTTCAGTATTTTTGAAATGTTTTAATTCGTACAAAAGTGAAAAAAATTTTACTAGACAAAGACCACTTGTCAGATGTGGTTATGCAGCGGCATAACCTTAAACCGTTCAATTCTAATTTCGAAACAATACTTCATACCTTTGAAAATGTTAAAAAACGATTATCGGATTTTATTATGCGTCTTATGATGTGACGTACGCACGTGATTGAATTTTTTTGGAACCAAATTTGATGAAACGACCGCCATTATACATTTTCTTGTATTTTATCCTATATTTTTGCTTTTTTGAAAAAAATTAAGGAAAGCACAGGAAAACTAGTATCAGCCAAGGGTAGTGAATTAGCGATCGTGTGTAACTTTTCCCTAAATAGGGCGGAAACATGAAAAGCGAAAATTTTTATGTACCTATGTACGTATACACACTCATACAAAAAATTTCCACTTTTCACGTTTCCGCCCTAAAGGAAAAAAAAGTGTCCATTCGAGTGTCACCCAGATATCACTCTATCTTTGTTGTTTACCGAACGTTAAATAAGGATGACAGACATTCGGGACACACCCTGACCCGTGTATAAGGAATCCAAACACCCCCTAACATGATCGCTACTTACACAAGTAGTTATGTAATGTAAAATTTACCCTCAAGTGCAAGAGATATTTGACTAAAATTTACCCCTATCACTCATTTTTCACCAATTACGCTGGTGTCTATATGAGAATCCGGGCTGATCCGGGCTTAACCATGATACAAATTATACCATGGGCTTAGCCTAGCGTAACTAAAGCATGTAGGCAGGTAAGAATAGGTAAGAACGTCGTGGTCCACGTGATTTCGTCTTAAATTAAATTCATTGAATTAGGAGTAGAAAGTTCGAGAAGAAGTGTTAAAGAAAGATATCTATTAAAAACTTGAATCTATATATAAAAAATTCGAAAATTTAAATGAGATTCGACCAGTTAAGTGTACTTGGCATCTAAAAACTGGTTTTTCTGTTACATGAAAGAAGTCGACTAAAACGGATATATTCTCATGTGGAACTTGTAAATAAAGGATTCAAGATGAGGCTGGTAATTATAATCGCTTTAATTAAAGTCATTACAGTTGACAGAGCTACAATTGCTTTTTATTTATAACCTATAAGTTTGTAAATATAACCTCAAAATGCGAAAGTTTCTTGGTGAGGAAAAATTAGAGGTTTATATTTGATATAAAGAAACTAGGATTGTTAGAGGAATAATAATTATAGGCGGAGAAATTCATCATTAAATTGACGATCAGTATAATTTATGATACATTTCCAATGTATTTGTGACGTTGTGAGCTCCAGTTTTAAGTTTGAATTGACATATAGTTTATGGAACTGAAAAATTTACTAATTTGAATATTACTAAGCACCAAGATTCGCTTTGACAGAAAATAGAATTGTTTCTATTATTTAACAAATAATCATTATCTAATAGTTCTGTGTTATATATGAAATTAATTTATTAGCTTCATATTTCTAGTATAATGAAGAATTACTAGACAAAAATAACAATATCCAGCTTGTCAAATTGATATATTGTTTATAAGAATGAATTGACAATTTGATTTTTTTCAGTATTGCCTGTCTAGTGAGCCAACAAAGCCATGCTTGGTTCTAACTTTCAAAGGAACCACGCTGATGTTGGATTGTGGTTTAAATATGCAATCCATTTTGCATTTCATGCCTTTGCCCATGGTACCTAGCAACAAATTTAATTCCTTGCCAACGTGGCTGCCGCGCAATGATAATCAACAAGATTGGCAAATTGAGGGAGTTAGTGAGATAGAATTTAATTATTTAATCCTTTTCAGTATATTTTAATTGTTAAATTATTTTAAACAGCAATTGCAATTATTTTTAATTTAAGGAGCTGAAAGAATGTTGCGGTAGAGTCTTTGTAGATTCAGTTCCAGAATTCACTCCCCCTTTGGAGAAAATAATTGATTTCTCAGAGATTGATGCCATTTTGATATCCAACTATACATGTATGCTCGCGTTGCCATTTATAACGGAAGGCACAGGTTTCAAAGGTATAACAAGTGTATGCAAAATGATACACTTTGATAAAAGTTATGTACAGATATAAGCAAAAGGGCTATTATCTTGGAAACGGTGATAGATGTGGCAAAATGTCAGGATTATTTCAATTCCTCTTTACAAGAGTTATGAAAAAAGTTATGCATTGGAGCTGTATATATCACTGTTATATATATTGAGGAAACTATCCCAACATCTAAACCTATTTGTAATTTTTTTGGCAGAGTGTGTATGTATATAGGGTGTTTGGCAACAAGTGGGAGAACATTTAAAAAGTGATTCTCTCTAGATAATAAAATAAGTTAAAAATAAAAAATAACAGAATTACGAATTTGACTTCATTTTTTATATGCATATATGAACATTAAAACATTTATAATTAAGAAGCGAAATTGAATTTGCAATTTCATTCTTGATTTCCGTCTTATTTTTATTATCGAGAATTTTTTAATTTTCTTCCATCTGTTGCCAGACACTCTGTGTATATATTAATCTATAAACAATAATTCGAAGGTATAATATATGCTACCGAACCGACATTGCAAATCGGACGGTTTTTCATGGAGGAATTAGTAGAGTTCATCGAGCGGACTCCTAAAGCAACAATGGCCAAACATTGGAAGGATATGTTACATACGTTGCCATCACCATTAGCTGAGGTTGTTAAACCAAAATCCTGGAAACATATTTATTCCACGTCGGCTGTGAATTCGGCGCTATCAAACATTCAAATGGTTGGATATGATCAAAAGCTGGTAAGTTTAATACACACGCAGATTAACATATACCTTTTTATACGAAATGTTGAGTTTATAATAGTCAATTTTTAGAAAATTATAAGCAATAATTTTTAGAAAATTTTTTCCTAGAGCAAACAAACGTAACTGGAAATATTCAATAATGTTTTAAATTCACAATTACACATATTTAGAGACAAGTAATTTTTCTTTTTCATAAACTCAAGATTTCTTCACAATCAGCGATTTCATAGATAACGACCCAATAATCACACTCGAATTACTTGCAGGATATATACGGTGCTTTAACAGTGACACCAATCAGTTCAGGGTTCTGTTTAGGTAGTAGTAATTGGTTGATCTCTAGCGACCACGAAAAAGTTGCTTTTGTTAGCGGTTCATCTACACTGACTACTCATCCAAAGCCCATGGATCAAGTCACATTGAAGCACGCAAATCTATTGATTTTGACAGGCTTAACACAAACGCCAACTGCTAATCCAGACACAATGCTTGGGGAATTGTGCATGACTGTTGGTACATATAATCTCAATATCTGATAAATTGCGATATACCCAGCAGAAAAATGATCCCTTGATACTTTGATTAAAATCATATTTCTTAGGAGAATTAAACAAACGTTAAAATCAATTAATTTTTCTTACAAGATTTTTTTCTGACAAAATTGTTTTCTTTATTAAGTGCATTATTATTCGGATTTTTATCGCTGGTTATTTTCTGAACAAAAATATAATTTAAGTAATGATTTTATCTTACCACATAAAAATGTTGCAGCTGTGACTCTTAGAGCTGGTGGATGTGTCTTGATACCTTGTTATCCCTCCGGCGTCGTGTACGACTTATTCGAGTGTCTGAGCACTCACCTGGACAAGTCAGGCTTCACGCAAGTGCCTCTATTCTTCATCTCACCTGTGGCGGAGACATCCTTGGCTTATTCAAATATTCTTGCTGAATGGTATAATCAATGAAGTGATTCTAAAATATTTCTGATATATTGCATTCTATTATTTTTTATTTTGTATTTTACTGTCATTTTTTACTTTTAGGCTGTCAACAAATAAACAAAACAAAGTTTATCTTCCAGAGGAGCCGTTTCCACATGCTTTCCTCGTGAAGAATGCTCGATTGAAGCATTATACATCTACATACGCTGAAGGATTCAGCAGTGATTACCGACAGCCTTGTGTCGTCTTCTGCGGCCATCCCAGCCTTCGATTTGGCGATGCCGTGCACTTCGTGCAGTTATGGGGCGGCAATCCTTTGCATACCGTAATTTTTACCGGCAAGTCTACATAATTCTATTCAGAAAATAATGCAATAAGTTTGCGTTTGCAATTCTATATTGGGTAAAAATCCCAGAAATAGGATAAATTATTCAATCAACATTGGCTCTATTACGGTGGTTGAGCCTTTTCTAAAAATTCACTCTCTTTATGAGTATTTGCAAATGAGTATTTTACATAAAATGGTTGTCACATATACATTTTTAAATAAAAGGACCAAGGAAATTTCTGTAAGGGCCTCTTGCTCTTCAAGCAAATTACGAATTTAAAAATCCATATGTGGGATGTGGAATCTAGCGCTCGAAATTAAATATTAAATATCAAAAAAACAAATATATATGTAGGACACAAAATATATAGATAAAAAACATTAAACATCTCTTCCTAATATTGCAATAGTTAATACAAGCTGCGTTGTATTATTTTCTCAGTACTTTTTGTGTATCCATATATAGTATACGATTGCATATACTTATTTCCCTTATGTTTTATCAATATTTTCTTTGTAACACATTATTTATATTTATATAATTTTCTTACAGAACCTGATTTTCCATATTTGGAAGCCCTCGCACCTTTTCAACCGTTGAATATGAAAGCAGTGCACTGTCCCATTGATACCTCTCTGAACTTTACTCAGGCTAATAAACTCATTCGAGACTTGAAGCCAGAGCACTTGGTAATTCCGGAGGTTTACACACAGCCTCCCGGAATGGCACCGCATAGAACGGATCTTGTCATCGAATCCATTGGGGTAGATATACGTTTTTTATTTAATGAAAAATTTCTCATTTTTACATAATTTATGTTTACAATTCTCTGTTTTGTATTCTTTCTTTACTATATTTATAAAATATGTATATGTATTTAAAAAAGTATCCTATAAAATAATTTGCATAATTACTTTGTTCAAGGAAAAACCCTTGATTACTTTCAAACGCGGAGAGGTGATAAAATTGCCATTAAAGCGGAAGAAGGGCCTTGTGTTTATTGAGCCGGAATTAGCTAGCAATATTGTACCGAGTGAAGTGCGGCCTGGCTTGAGTCTTGCATCTGTTACCGGCGAGCTTGATGTCAAGGACAACGTGTATACTATAAAAGTAATTACTAATATGTATAAAGATAAATATGAATTTCATGGTCAAGATAAATATTACGACATGCTCTTTTGTAGAAGATATTTTCAATTAAAGAGATTTACTTGGAGAAAAAAAGTGCAATATATTTGTTTATACATAATTTCGTTTCTAAATATGTAACATTTATAGAACGTAGAGGATAAACTGACTGGAAAGAGGAAAATGTCATTGGGTTCGCCTGCGCCAATCATGGAGGAAGTGTTGAAGGAGAGAAAGCATGAATACGGGAACCTCGATCCACAAGAATTGCTGCAAAAGCTCAATCAGGAAGGCTTTCATGGAGCCAAATTACAGCATAGTCCCACCTCTACGAGTATTCATTTGGTATGATTTGATATCTTATTGACTTTTTCAATATAAATATAGAAAATAATCTTTTCCAAGATTATATAAAATATACAATTAATATAATTAAGAGAGAAAATTAATGTCTACTTGCAGCAAGATGAGGACACTCTGATTCAGATCGGAGATAACTCTACGCACATTTTCTGCAATGGCGATCAAAAAATCCGTAAACGTCTCAGGAGTATAATAATGCAGTGTCTGAAAAGATTTTGAGGTACGATATACATTTATAGTATTCTGATATTCTGAGACAATGTTTTATACTGCTATATCGTATTGTATATACATTTATATATAATTTATTGTTTCAAAGCGTGTATATATTTATTTGTTTCATCATTCATTTTTATTCTATCTATGATATTAACTTAGGAATTATTTCTAAATTGACTATACTAGAAAATATTTTTATTATCTAATTATGTTAAATAAGGGGCAGTTTAAGTACTTTCAAACACAATACTTTTGACAAACATTGCTTAACTTAACATACATTTGGCAATAATATAATAATGCTTTCCTACATATTTAATAATATAAGTAAAATTTTAGTTTCTATCGTTGCTAAATTATTGTTAATAAGTGATTGAAATTTGTTAAATTTGCATTTGAATATCATTAAATAATTTTTATTATAGATAATATATATTTAGATCTGTATATATAAGTACAAATAATGCGATATAAATATATGATGATTAGCAAATTAAATGTAAATAATGAAAAAAAAATTACAATCCTTTACAATAATAGTATAATAAGTATAAGTAGTATACATTATTTTAATGATTTACATTCTAGAATGACTAATTTCTTGCTGCATTCTGAATGAATAAGAAACCTCTATCATTTCATATGCACATGTTATATATATTTTGATTTGCATATGTTCTATGCAAATGACAGCAAAATTATCAAGATTCTAAGATTCTTTTCGTAAATATATTCCAAACTTTGCGCAAGTTTACAGGATAGAATAAAAATAAATAATATACTGAAGCGATACAAAAATTTCAATAAATCTCCTCAATGCTATAAATAAACTTTTTTAATTTTAGAGTCTAGAACACATTAGGGACTTTCATTTGTTTAATGTATTAACTCTAGAGATAGTAACGATGAGTAAAGTTTATTCTACTTATTGATCTTAAAATATGTTGGTCTTAAAATAGTTCATATAAACTGTTTGATTGAAACTATTCCGTTATCTATTCTTGCTTCATAATCTAAAAAGAGGAAAAATATTATAAGCAATTCCATAATGCATGAATAAGTTTTACTCATCGCTAACAATAGTAACAGACTAAAAAATAAAGGTATTTATCTAGGATTATTAAGCGTACTTCGCGTGACCCATTTCTTCAACACATTGATCTTATTTCTTACCTCATCCATGATTGTATTGTTATACTCGTCGACGACGTTGTCATGTGCGTCAATAGCAGTAGAGCAGCTGTTTTTTGACGCGACATGAATGTCGATCTTTCTCTTGGTTGCATTCAGAGTGCAGCAACTTATTACCTAGTTAGCTGTGGCGATACCAATCGCAACTCCCGCCACATACGAGACTAGAAAGAAATGGAATTCCGTTGGCTGGAAGCTATCGTCGCCGCCGGTCAACATGTGGTACCAGCGCCGCGTACAGGTCTTCCCTTGTTTCAGCAATCGCTCGGCTTTATCCAGCTTTCTATCGACGAATCTCTCGGCCTGGAATGCAATAATGTTCATCAGTGACTCGGCGTTACATCGAAGCGGAGTTGGTAAAATCTGCACACCATAATTAATTTTATTAAATATTTTTATTGGGGACTATACAAAAATTATAATGATATTGATATATAAGTTTCATTCGACATTAGAATTAATATTGATATTAATTGTTATTGATTGATATTGCCGTATTAAATTTTAATATTGAATTAATATCATTCAATATGGATACTGTAAACGCAACAGTAATATGTATGATGACAACATACTAAACGTTCGTTCACATTTTCGCACAAAACTTCAAAGTTATTGTTCTTTACTTCACCAACATAGACCGATAAAGAAACCGCCAAGAAAACTCGTGGCAATGTATGAGTTCTTCCTCCACAATATCCCTACCTGCAAACAACAGTAGGAACACTATATTTAAAAAATTGTAAACTAAAAAATTATAAACAAGACAAGCAAAAATATTTCCTATAATTAGGAATGATAAACGCAAGCAATTTGTTAAGTTACAATTGAAAATAAAGTTACAGATTCGAAATAATCTCTGTTGGAAGATCATATTTTTAAAAAATATGTATCGTTTTTCAATGAAGAAGTTAAAAATAGAAAACTTTCAATCTTTAACTCAGTTTAGAGAACCTATAAAATCTTTATGCAGCAACCCGACATTTGTCTCACCTTATCCATGAAATTTGGTCCTTCGCCGGTAATCTTTTCTTCCACTTTATCTGTTATTTTCTCGGCTTTACTCATAATCTTGTCCCAGTTAATTTTTATGTAACCCTGATGTGCAGCTATTTGCAGCATGATGATTCCACCACCGACTGCACAGGCTGCCACCTTCCCAATCTTCATGGTGACGAATCCAGTTACCCTAAGTTACAAGGCAGTTAGTATAGAAGATGCGTCTAATAAGTGCTATACGCTCAGATACTTGAGAAATAAATAATTATGGCAACAATTAAAGCATAAAATACGTACCATCCTGATGTGCTACCAATGATGATCTGTTTGGTTGCCGAAGATTTGCTCACATCACCCATGATTTTCTCTAAGAAGGATTTGGCTTCCTGTGAGGCATCTATACTATAGGCTTCCTTGTTTGCGTCTTCTTTACTCTTTTTGGGTATTGGCATCTTGGTCCTGAAAAAAAGAAGTATGTGAAAATACAACAAAGAATTTATATCTTTAAAAGATTGGATAATTCATGTAACGTTGCTCAATGATCTTATAAGGTTAAGTATGGCTTTAAAAAAACTCCTATTACATAAATTCTATGCTTAAAAGTTATACATGTGAGTGAAAGAAGTATCAATGTAGAAAGTTTCACATACTTAATTGAGATACGAAAAGATGTTTCAACCATCAATTCTATTTTTAAATTTGGAGTAAAATCAAATAAAAAATAACAAATCCCTGATTGTTCCTAATAACAGTTGTGTCATTAACCTTTAAGTGGATAAGTGAGGTAGCCACAGTACTCCAGATATAGTTTTTTTAAAATCTTATTCTGGAAAAGGAAAACAAAAAAGTATTGCCCAGAAGTCTTAAGGATCCTCTACGTAGAAGTTATAGACGGTCGTGGAATCTTAAGTCGTAGGAAACTGACCAATTCTAATCGAGTGTTCTCCTTATATTTGATTGTGATTGGTTGGTTTCCTACGACTTAAGACTCCACGACCATCTACGACTTCTATGTAGAGGATCCTTTAAAGTTTATTATTTTTACATTCATCTATCTCATAAGGTATGAAGTCTAATTTACAATGTGCTCTTTGCTTCTTGTTTTTTCCATATTTTTATTTTGCCTTTTTGCCTCTTATCCTGTTTCTTCGTTTTCTGCCATTTGAGATAAAAGTTGCTAAACTTTATAAGCGACGAGAAACAGTGAATTATTACATTTTTGTTGTTGACGTTAAACAAGGATAAAATGATTCACTTTGTCCTTGCTAGAAAACATCTGTGATTGTCGATAAAACGGTTGGTAACTTCAAGATTGGTAAGAAGGAAAAAGGTAATAGCTAAAAAGCATGAAACGGGAAGCAAAGAATACATTATAGATTAGGCTTAACTAATGTAAATTTAACCACAACATAATATACTAGTAAAAAGTATAACTGTGGAATCAAAAATTTTTTGGAGGTGTTCTGAGCACCCTACTTATTACATATCTTTTCTCTAAATTTATTGGAGTAAAATCTTGTTTTGAGTTAAGCCAGTCTTGAAAAACAGTGACTCAATTTTCAATCTTTAAAAGTGAGATTTTCACTCTGAAGGTTTTAAAGTTTTTAAACCTACCCACTTAAAGATTAACAACTATTCAGTAATCATAATAACAAAAGGATCATATGAGAAGACAGACGTTGGAAGTTGATGTTATCCTCGTCATTGTGCGGATTTGTGACGCAGTGAAGTAAAACTTAATTATATCGATGACGAAGTTTCGGAAGGAAGTCACAGCGATTGTTCTCAGAAAAGGAGAATGAAAAAGAAACGTCGCGGAACATCAAGGAATTCCCGTAAATTCCCAATCGGCTGCAACATTCAACGAATTCCGGGGAAAAACTAAACGATAAAGGGCTCTACCGTTTGAAGAGTTTCCTTATTCTCGAGCGGAAGACACTTCTGTTCGGCATGAGTATCGAACGTGTTTCTAGATGTATGACGAATCGTCTCGCGGGCAGAAACGTTTTGCTTAGATCTACACAACATTTCGATAAGGTATAAAATTTACCTATTTTTTTTTTCGACAATAAATTTTCGCAAACGGTGACGGATGCGACGACGTCAGTTGAGCGATCCGTCAGATCGAACGTAAATTGACGTAAATACGATACGATAATTTGGAGGGAGCCAGACGGCTCCCGAGAACCAAGTTTGCTCGTTTTAGTTGCACTTTCTGCACCTTGCTCGTCTCTGTTCTTCTTTCCTTTTATCTCTTGTTTCAACTTGAAACGTATTGTTTTTTTTTTTGTAGTATTTATATTTTTTAATATACAACATATTTAAATCTACTTTTATTTGATCTTTTTTACGTTTAAATTCGAATATTTGATTTGATTTTTTTGTTTTGTTTTTTTTAGTTACTTTAACTTAATTTATTAATTAAACTCCTGAAACTTTTCTTCTTAATATTTATATCTATTATAACTTATTTAAATATTACTATTATAGTATATTATCTATTTTTATATTTAGTCTTTTTATATTAATATCTGATATTTTGTTTCTTAGCCACTTTAAATATCAATTGAATTTATCGCAATTTTTGCCTGAAATATCTATTTCTCTACATATGTAATATTCATCGTTAATTCTCGACAATCAAATGTGACTTAAAAAGATAGTTAACATTGATCGAATAAACGGTGACTTTATTTTCTCGTATCTTATCGCATTGAAATCTACCGCGCTCGAAACACAGAAATGGCTGGCTTGACTCGGCTGCGCTCGGCGTCGTTCGGTCACGCTCGGCATTCGTCGCGGAACCGGCTCGGCGCCGTTCGGTCGCGCTCGACATTCGTCGGCGTTTCGTGAGCCGGTCGGCCGGCGCGCCGCGCGACTCGTCTCATTTCATGCCGCTCGTACGTGATCGCGTGTAGTTCGTGTCGTTGTCGTTGTCGCTGCCGTCGCTGTTGCGCCGCCGCCGCCGCCGCAGCCGCCACTATCTCGCTGATAAACTCTTCGCGATGCGGTGACGGCGCCGTGGGCCGTGGGATTGACTCGCGTACAATCGCGCGCGCGCGCGCGACTTCCTCGTCGTAGGTTTCGGAGTCGTCGTCGTGCGTGCGTGATATCCGTCTCGCGCGGGTCGCGGATGTGTGACGCACGTGTCTTTACCGGGACCGCGACAGAGCGTGTGTAAAATGGCACAGGACACCGACGACATCAACCTCACGCCGCAGGAATTGCAGACGCTGTCGGAGCTAGACAGGTGATTAACTCCACCCGGTTCCACGTATACCTCCGCGGTGTCCCCGGTCCCCCGCGACCGGGATTAATGTCGCTGCTTCCGTTCCGTCCAGATTACGAGTATCACGACTATCACGACTATCACGTCACGGGTATATAACCTAGAAAAGTGCGTTTGACAGCGCGCTTGTGCGCAACCTACTGACACCGTTTTCGCGTTTCCGTCTGTACCACATTCCGCGGGTTTGTCGCGAAATCTCGCCGCGATAACAATGCGCGCGCGAATGACCGGCGTAGCCGCCGTCTTGATTATTAAATCGCCGGCACGATCGCCGATAATAACGATCGACGTAAATACATGTGTTCCGCACGAGTCTCTCGACCGGGCGGAATGCGCGCGTAAATGCGATATAATACATCGTGAAACTGAAGGCACTTTCTCTCTTGTGTGCATGCACAGCCGGCAGTTTGGTTTCCTCAAGCTCAACTCCCCGGAGCAGGCGAAGAGGAAGGCCCTGGTGGTGCGTGCCATCAAATACCTAGATCGTATGCTGGTCCAGGCCCAGGCGGAGAAACAGCGCAGGAAAGCTGATAGTACAAAAGCGTGCTCGGACGACTCCAAGGAGAACGAGGATGAGGATAAGGGAATAAGCATCGATCCCAAGACGTACTGCAAGCTGGGACACTTTCATCTACTTTTAGAAGATTATAGCAAAGGTATAACTTCCTTTTTATGGTATACCTTGTCATGAAACTGTCGGGAATGTTTCACATTTGTTTAAAATTCAGATCAATTTGTGAATTTCATTCAAATCAAGTTCTATTTTATAATTGAAGACGTTTTATCAAGCAAATAAAACTTCTTCTTCATTTAGAACAAGTACTTGTTTTATAAATTAAATAGTGAGATATTAAAAATTATAGCAAAAATGTAGCTCCCTTTCTGTATTGTTTTTTTTCTATAAAACAGTTGAGAGTGTTTCGCGTCTGTTGAAGAAAAATTTAAGCTGATTATACATATATTAGTCATTTAATTCAAATTTTATTTTATAATTGAAAATGTTCTTTCAAGCAAATAAGATTATCTTTTTTTGTTTTTTATTCTAAATAAACACTTGTTGAATCAAATAATAAAGAATTTAACTGAGTAATTTTAAACTCGAGATATGTATATCATATCAACAGTTGGGAAACCTGTCGAAACAAATGACAGGAGGGCTTCCTAGGGCTTCAAATTCCATTGATTTACTGTATATTTCCTCTCACTTTTAAACCTTATCTTGAGTAAAACAATTTTTGTTTTGTTTGTATTAACGAGCAAACCTGCTCTGATGACTATCTTCTTTTTTCTTGTTGCAGCAATGTCAGCGTATCAGAAATTCTACTCTTTAAAAGGTGACTACTGGAAGGATGCTTCATTTCTGTATGGACTGGGTCTCGTTTACTTCCACTTCAATGCCTTCCAATGGTGAGTGTGAAATAATTTTCTTTTTTTAATATGTGCCCTACGAAAAAACGATTAATTCTGTTACGAAAGTCATACAATATTCAATGCGTGAATGTATCTTGTGACCCTAATTTTATATTAAGTAATTAAGTAAGGTAAAATAAAATTAATTGTAAATTGATTAATCAAAATAAAAAAATTTCATGAATAATAGATCATAACAAATTTTAATAGATTAATATTTATGATTAATAAAATTGATTCTATTAAACTGGTATCCATTCCATTAAATAGACTTAATATTTTTTAATTAAAATTTATTACGAGATATTAAAATGATTAAATTCCAAACCTGAAGCAGAATATTAATAAAATTGCATTAAAATATATAAAAATACAATCTCTTGGCTGTTTATTCTTAAAAATTTTGCAAAACATTTTTTACATTTCTCATTAATATCTTTTAAATAGATTTACTGACGAAGAACTTTATAGTTATTGGTTTATACCTTTATTAACATTGTTAAGATAAGTTGCAGGAGACTCTATGCTCTCATTTTATTTAAAATGGAAAGTGATAGCTAAAACGAACATGCATACGGGGGTGTAAAACGTTTGATTTTACTTCTCGCGCGCAATTGTAAACGTAGAGCAGGATCCCGTGGTTAAGTCAGTCGGCTAGGTCCTAGGCAAGCTACGTAAGGGCGAAGGGCCCGACCGACGAATGGCAAACATGGCCGACATAAAAAAATTCCGCAATCTCTCTCGCAAGAGTTGCTCGCCTTGAGAAGGGGGCGTCGGCCCTTGCACGACGTACACACACGCAGAGTTCATTGTTCCCGTGCAGCCTCTCTCTCCGTGCATCCTCTGTTTATTTTTTAATTTTGTATCGCACACGTGACACCATCACTCGCCGATAAACGGCAAACTGCCCTTCCGGGTGCCGATAAGGTGTGGGTCCGAGGGTCGGTAAAGTCACAAGCATTTCGGTTCACTGATACCGGTTCTCTCTCTCTACCAAAGTTTTTAATTTCGGTTCAATTTACTCTTCATCTTTTTTCAATTCTTAGAACTAGAAAAAGATGAAAAGTTAGTTATGAGAGAGTTTCACATTATTTTGTCCTATAAAGAGTTTATTATTGATAAATTCTTAACTATACAGAATCAACAAGTAGGTCTCATACATATGTATAAAATAATATGAAAAGATTAATGCCTACAAGGACCTAACACTGGCTGTTTATGTGTTTCTTACTTTTATTATATCAAAATATAAGTAGGTACATAAATACGATAGAGAACGCCAATAAACGGTCAAAGTTTAAATCAGTTTAGATGTTTCGAATAATACAATATATATTCTTTGTTAAATTAATTTATTTAAGATATGATTGTGCGCGCCGAAACATTCAGACATTCCTATATATTAAATCAATTTATCTCAGATATGACTGCCTAGCAAACAAAAATGGATAGAAATGGATTGGAAATTTTCAATCCATCCGAATCCGTATTTTAAATCCATAAAAATGGATTGGATTCCATATAAGAAATTTTTATACATGTAAAAGTTTAAATAAGTTAAAGTAGTAATTACATGAAATTCTATAGTTATTATTTTAAAATTTATACAAAAAATATAGTTATGTAATAAAGGAAACATTAATATATGAAATATACATAAAAGCAATTAATTTATTAATTAAAAATAAGGAATTTATATATGTGTAACATTTATTGTATATATTTACGTAGTCCTTTTCATGTTTCTTTTAACTATTAAATGAAGTAGAATTCATGATATACTTTTACGGTACAACTGTTTTTAACTCAGTTGAATTAAAACGAAAAATTTCTTATTTATAATTCTGAGTGAAGTAGCATTCATGATGCATTTTTAAATAAAACAATGGATTTTCTACTCATAATTTTGAATTGAATAGCATTCATGGCCTATTTTAAAAGAAAAACTTTTTTTAATTCAATTGGATTAAAAAAACTGCATTTTTTATTCAGAATTTTGAATTGAGCAGTATTCACGATACACAGAAATGGCTGATATTATTTTTAGATTCAACTGGATTGAAAAACTTAATTTCCTATTCAGAATTTTGAATTAAACAGTACTCACGATGCACAGAAATGGCCGATATTATTTTTAGATTCACTGGATTGCAAAACTGCATTTCCTATTCACAATTTTGAATTGAGCAGTATCTACGATGCACACAAAATACTATATTATTTTTAGATTGAAAAACACATAGAAATATACTCCATGCCATTCCTATAAATGAATAAAAATGCATTCAGGATTGAAAAGCATTCATTTTAACATTCATGAATCCGTATTTCTCTGAAAATCTAAATCTATTTTAATCCATTTCAATCCATTCTCGTTTGCCGGGATGTGCGCCGAAACCTTCGGACTTTCAACACAAGCAGTTTGAGATGCTAATAATTATTCCTCCCTAAATTAAATTAGAAAAACTCTAAAGAACTTATTGCGAAAAATATTACCTCAGCTAGGATTCGAAGAGATCTTAATATAGAAACGTCCGAATGTTTCGGTGCGTAATCATATCTTAAATATAAATTGATTTAACAAAGAATGTATATTGTATTATTCGAAACATCTAAGTTTTGACTATACATTGGTGTTCTCTATCCTGTAATTTATCATGTATTAATATACAAACGCCGTATAAGTCGTTCTTAGTCTTTAAAATATAAATGTTTCGACCATAAATTTAGGTCATTTTCAATACAAAATTATGCAAAGAACGTTAATTACATCTTAAACATTAAAAATCATCTCATAAATGTGTCGCAAAATTAAACATTGGATATATGTATATGTTTCGTAAAAAGATTCCTGTTGTCGCACGCGTAATGTGATGTTGAAGATGTCAAAAAAGTAAATTGCAATTATAATATATTAAACTGAGATAATATTACATTGATCTTATCTATACAATTGTACATCTGATACACAGCGTTTGTCGCTCGCGTTACCTACGGTCGGTAATTTCTTATGATGACGTGACTGCAGTGTCGGCCGACAGATGTCTCTCGCGTCGCGCGAGCGACGTGCCTACGTGCCGAACAGCAGTGCAGTCATGGCGACGCCGCCCGATTGGTGTAGGGTGTTGCGGGGTGCGGGTCGCGGGGGGCGATAATAGGCCAAATATGCACGTTCTCTCGTGGAACCGAAATAGAATTTCAGGAGCGCCGTATGCCCGTATATACGTAACTCCAGCCATAACGGCGGGGGCGGCACCGAGATCGCTACCAACCGCTACGTGTAAACAAACTCCGGCGGCGAAATTCGCTTACGGATTCCGCCTGTCCGTCCAAACCTCCGATCTTATCGCGTATGAAATATCCGCGACTCGGAATAGTCGGAATCCGCGAGAGACTGTATTATGGAAGCAGGGCATCCTCCCTCCCCACGTTCGATGCATGCATATTACATGATTGTTTATAATCGATGCCTCCCCTCGGTGACTCTCGGCGAAGCAGATTTGACCGAAGGTAACTGAAACCGAAAATCCAAGATTCTACTGGCGCTAAATTGGAGTAGACGAAAATGACACAACAATGGTATATAAATCAAGCTATTGCGCATCGTTATAAATGTAATATAAATACGAGAAAATGAGAAAAATCTAACAAATTTTTCATCTTTGCACCGCGATTTAATTCTTTATTGCAGCGTAACGTGTCTTTTGAATTTATTTGCTATGCACTCAAA